AAATAAATAAATTTATTAAACACATATTTTTAGTGATTTATATAAAACCATTATTTTTTTACCGCTATACCAAATATGCCTTTAATTTTTTTTTTAAAAAATAAAACCTAAGATATAACAATAATAGAAGAATTACAATCCATCCCTAACTTGCCTGTATAGGCAATATATATATATATACATATATATATATTTTTTAACAAGGGAAATTTTGAAAAAATGAGAGAAATATTATAACTATGTCTATTGGGATTTGAACCTTGACATGGGCTAAGGTTTTTGCTGTATATTACATGGAGTAAATGTGCAAATAAAGATATCAACTTTACATTTTTGTTTATTTATAAATGTTAACTTTGTTAGTCTCTAAATAAATGTGTTAAATTTTAATTTTTTTTATTTAAGGATGTCAACTTTTAATTTTTTCTATTTAATGATTAATTGGGTGGTGGTGGTGACGTGGTTAACAAATTTTTTTAAGTTAAATACTTAAATTGGTCCCTTAACTTTTATTTTTAAACCAATTCATCCTTCAACTTCAATTTTCAACACCAATTTCGTCTTTCCGTCAGTTAAGTACTGATTTAGCTAATTTTTTCGCTAAGTGATTGCCTATTTTACATTTTTAATATTACATTAAAAATCCATCATGTAAAATATGATTATGTGGATTTTTTTAATTTTAAATAATTTAAAAACTGCTTTAATTCTTCATTTTACTTTATTTATATTTGAAAATTAAAACAATTAATATATTTTCTCATTTAATCAGTCCCACCTACCATAAGTAACTCTTAATTTATAAAGAAATAAATTAACTCTCATTTAATTTTATTTAAATTAAATGAAATTAAAATAAAATTAAAATAATTTTTTGGTTCTTCTTCCTTGACCTTCTTTTTTGTTTAAATTATTAAAATAAACTATAATTATTTCTTAATTAATTTTTCCATGATTAAATTTCATTTAATAAAATTAAATAAAAGTTAATTGATTTTTCTATGAATTAGGAAATAATTATAGTAGGTGAGATTTGATTTAATAAAATTAAATACAAGTTAATTTATTTCTTTATAAATTAAGAGTTACTTATGGTAGGTGGGATTAATTAAATGGAAAAATATATTAATTGTTTTAATTTTTAAATATAAATAAAGTAAAATTAAGAATTAAAGTAGTTTTAAAATTATTTAAAATTAAAAAATTCACATAATCATCTTTTACATGATGGATTTTTCACCTAATATTGAAAATGTAAAATGGTCAACCACTTAATGGAAAAATTAGCTACATCAGCACTCAATTGACGGAAAGATGAAATTGGTGCTGAAAATTGAAGTTGAAGGACGTTTTTGGTATTTTCTAAAGTTCAAGGATGAATTGGTTCAAAAATAAAAGTCGAGGGACCAATTTCGGTATTTAACCTAAAAAAATATGTTAGCCACATCATCATCACCATCCAATTAATCCTTAAATAGAAAAAGTTGAAAGTTGATATCTTTATGTAGAAAAAATTAAAAGTTGACATTCTTATTTAGAAAAAATTGAAAGTTGACATTCTTATTTACAAAAAATTGAAAGTTGACATTCTTATTTAGAAAAAATTAAAAGTTGATATTTTTATTTAGAAACTGACAAAATTAACATTTTTAAATAGAAAAAAGTATAAAATTGACATCCTTATTTGCATATTTACTTAGCTCAACTGAGGTTGCTAGTGCCATATAAACAATACATTACAAGCAAAGGATCATGACCTATAGCATAAGTTATGATCATGTTTTAAACTAATTTAATTAATTAATACATTTAAAGAGCTAACAATTAAATGCTTACATGAATATTATAACTAAACTTGAGTTTGAGATATGACATAGTTAAACATCTTTCTTGCATAATTTACCCAAATAGAATGCACTTGAATGTAACTATAAAGGTAATAATAAGGTGTAAAAAGATTACCTTTTAAACTTCTTTAGTCATTGGATAATCTCATTTATTATACTAACTTTAAGAAAAGTAAGCAATTTAGTAGTACAACAGTTTTCTTCTATCATACCATCACACAAATATTCCTATACCACTAACTAGGAGGCCAATCTCCAAATATTAGCATCTTGTTTTTTCTTCTTTCGTATAGACAAATAATATTCTTGGATAAAGCGCATCTCCGTGGAATCTTGGAAACAAAATCCTTAAAAAACATCTATATCTTTGATGTCTATTTCCGCCAGAATTTGGACTATTGGTTTCCAGAGTAACAGAGCAGCCTTCCATCATCTATTCTAGTTCAAGAGCATGGAGCGAATCCAACCGAGTTCCACCAAATCCACCCAAGGGAGACCTCTGGACCTCCGCTCAAGTGCACAGTACCCACAAAAACAACCAGCAGCCAAGCACACAAAAACGCAACTGGTTTCCAAGAACCCAATATGTTGCCGCTGCCCTTGATTTTTTTTTTTTTTTTCGCTCTTTTTTGGCCTTTTGTTTTTATAGAAAATATAGAGGAAGATGCATTAGATTGTAAACAAAAATAAAGAGAAAAACAAAATTAAAAAGATAAATTATGGATGGGATGAATTAAAAAGAAAGAAACTCTCTTTAGAAAAATCCTAAAGGAAGACCGGCAACTAAGGGTGGGCCAAAAAATCTGCAACTGAGAAAAATTTTGAAAACTGAGAAATCGTAGTCGAGAAGTAAGATTTGATTGGGTTTTGTATTTTTTTGATTAAAAAACCAAACGAACCAATTTAAAACAATTTGGGTTTTGGTTATTAAGTCTAAAAACTAGAAAATTAATGACTATGATGAGTATGAGTTGAGAGTCTGAGTTGAAAGAGTTTGATCTCCTTTAAATAAGATTTTGAGTATTGTGAATGGAGAATAAACTTTGAGAGAGTTTCTCTCTAATGGGATTTGATGCGACTTGATTTTAAATTGATCGAGATTTAATATGATTATCAGATACTAAAATGTTAATATCAAAAAAAAAAAATCTGACTAAAAATTCTTTTATATAATTTTTTTAATGGTTTCTAGATTTTTCAAAGGTTTTTTAGTCACTTTTTACTAAATTATTTATTTATTTATGTAATTTTAGTTTTTTTAATGATAGAAATTAATAAATAATAATTAAGGAATTCAAAAAAATCACTAAAAATATAAAAATAATTTTTTGATTAAAACTGAAACCGATTCAAATAATTACTCTCAAAAGTGCAGTTGAAATTGATGAAACCCCTTTTTTTATTTCTTTTTTCTTTTTAGTTTGGTTAATGGTTACTAAACTTTAAAATTTAAAATTTTGATTAACTGGTAGTTTGGTTTTAGTTATAACCAAAACCAAACCATACCCACCCCTATCCACAACTCCAAACCCTAACTTTAAGCCATAGTTTGGATCGAAAAAGTTGAAGGAAAAGAAAAGGAGACAGAGACGTGAGGGGATATGTCTTTCTTATGTTTGGGTTATTGATTTTAATAGAGATGAGGGAGATGGAACCCCCTACATTTCTCTATTTTCCATTTCTCTTAATTAGAGAGATTGAGAGGGATTAGTTTTATACATTTAATTTTTTTAATTTCTTTAAAAATGAATGTTTAAAAATATCTTATATCAATTATTTTTTTAATTAGTAAATTTTAAATATTTTATTTTATAGTTCTTCAAATTATTTACTTAAATAAAAATATTATTTTTTTCTTGTCTTTTCTTCACTTTTATTTATCCAAACAAACTTAACATCAATCTTTTTACTCCCTTCCCCTCTTTTCCCCTCCATTTCCTTTCATTTCCTAATTTTTATTCAAATAAACTCTGAAAGAGATGTGCAAGAGATACAACTATTTAATTTAGCATACTTAATTAACAATCCTTATTTGTGTGTGTGTGTTTTTTTAATCTAATTGATACATAATTAGTGATATTGCAAGATTTTTAGATGCAAAGTTTAATTTAGTCAGATGTATTGAACTACAGTTGATGCAATCATGGACATCAAGCAAATGTACAAGATAAGTACACCTGATTGGCAAGGAGACCCATGTATCCCACAAGCATATGAGTGGAGTGGTTTGGACTGCAGTTTCAATAATTCTACTATGAGGATCATATCTCTGTAAGAAATTATCTAATTTAGATGACAATTAAGTCACACAGGAACAGGGAGAAGGCCCAGTTCATATTTGCCTAATCCCACCTACCACTAGGATGGGGGATAAAATTGTCTCTTTATTGAAAGTAGAGAAAATGTAGTTACAATCTCTTACTACTAATATGTTTATTATTGGGATATTGTATTTTTCTTAATACAAACATCTTTACCTTTGTTCAATGAATTTTACAAACAGGAATTTGAGCTCTGAGAACTTAGAAGGGGAGGTTTCTTCTTCATTCGTCATGCTCACAGCAATGGTGTCTCTGTAAGTAGTAGTGTGGTTATATATTGAAATTTTGTTAAGAATTTCATAATCAGATTGGTTTTTTTTTTTTTTTTTGGATTTCAGGGACTTATCAAATAATAAACTAACAGGATCGGTGCCAGAATTTTTTGCACAATTACCCAAGTTGAAAGTCCTGTATATTATTTTTTTTATTAATTGATCTTGCATAATAATTTTCTATTGTTTCTTTTAAGAGTCAAACAGATTATAAACAATACATATTTGCCACATTCATTGCAGTAATTTATCTGGAAACAAATTCAAAGGGCAAATTCCGCGCACGTTAATGGAGAAGTTTAAGAATGGAGCCTTGCAACTAAGGTTTGATTTCATTTCTTTGCCATATTGCCAATCCTCCAACTTTCATTCAGCTCCTTTAAGTCTGGATTTTGAACTCATCTTTTGGTCTGAATGACAAAAAATTGATGCATCTTGTAACATGATTGCAAACAATCATCTGATGCTTTCTCATGGACATATTTTTTCCAATTAGCCAATTCTAATTGCAAGATTAGTATTCATGATCAATATAGTGTAAAATCTAACCATTTCTGCTTGTACTTAATCACAGCTTGGATAAAAATCCTGACCTATGCCTGACAGATGCTTGTGAAAATAACAATAAGAGGATGGTTCTTCCCATTGTTGCTTCTACTGTTTCAGTTGTAGCCCTTCTTATCTTCTTGAGTGTTGTACTCATCATTTGTAGAATTAAAAGGAGAAGACAAACAGGTAACCTCATTGTCAAAAATTTTTAAGTAAAATCATTTTCTAATATCTGTGTTTATCTTGAAATATGCTGGTTTTCATTGCTTTAGGGGCCAAATTAAAAAGGGAGCAGTCAATGAAATTAAAGAATAGAACCTTTACTTACTCCCAGATTGCTAACATTACTTCAAATTTCACAACGGTTATTGGGGAAGGAGGATTTGGAAAAGTTTACCTTGGCACCTTGAATGATGGTAGTCAGGTTGCTGTCAAGGTTCTATCCTCATCATCAAAGCAAGGCTATAAGGAATTCCGAGCAGAGGTTACATTACCACAACCATTTTTCTTAATACTCCATAACACAAGACATGTTACCAAATGAATTTCACTTTGAGAAGGCATTATCTTGAATGCAGGCACATTTGTTAACGATAGTTCATCATAAGAACCTGGTTTCCCTCTTGGGATACTGTGATGAAGATGACAACAAAGCTTTGGTTTATGAATACATGGCTAATGGAAACTTAAGACAGCATTTATCAGGTATAATCCATGTTGTAGTCAACAATCCTTGACCAATTTTCTGGCCTTGACAATCTGAACTGGAAAAAGGTTATCTTAACTTGTTTTTTTGTACAGATAGAAACACAAACAATTTAAGCTGGATTGAAAGACTTCAAATTGCTGTTGACGCTGCACAGGGTCCTTCTTCTAACAGAAATTTCCAAGTCAATTTGTTTTGTTTTCCTTTTCCAATAAAGTAATGTATAATTGCAGGATTGGAGTATCTACACAATGGTTGCAAGCCACCAATAGTCCATAGAGATTTGAAAACCTCCAACATCTTATTAACTGAAAACATGCAAGCCAAGATAGCTGACTTTGGATTATCCAGAGCTTTTGCAACAGAGTCTGCCTCCCATATATCAACTTGCTTTGCAGGAACACCTGGATACCTAGACCCTGAGTAAGTCTTAAATCTCCAACATGATTAATAACACCTTTTCTATATCTTATCAATGTAATTATTTTTATGTTTCCTTACAGGTTTCATTCATCAGGAGTCATTAACAAGAAAAGTGATGTCTACGGCTTTGGAATAATTCTACTAGAGTTGGTCAGTGGTCGACCTGTCATAACAAGAGGTGAAGGGTACAAAATTAGCATAATTGAATGGATTAATCCTTTGATTGAAAGAGTGGATATTCGGAGCATTATTGATCCAAGGTTACAAGGTGAATTCAACATCAATGCAGCCTGGAAAGCAGTAGAGATAGCAATGTCATGTGTGCAGCAAATTGGAAACCAAAGGCCACATATAAGTCATGTACTATTAGAACTTAAGGAGTGTTTGGATTTAGAAATGGGTTCCAGAGAAACTCAAAGGATAGAGAGCCAGATATTGAGTAATTCACTTGAAATTGATGCTCCTCTTGCTAGGTAATTCAATAGACAATGTTTTGCAGAATTCTGGATGTAAATCCCTCTTGTTGTTCAAGGCTGTAAACTTTTGTTGGTGTATTTGAGATCAAGTCTGTGAGTTTCTTAACAGTTATGTCTTTTATGTTATTTTGTAGACTATTTTAGTAGTGTAGCAGTTTGTACTGTAGTTTATTAACTTCTTTTTGTTTTAGCAACTGCCATGTATAAGTTTCCGCTTTTTCTTAGAAACTGGATGTGTGTTTGATGGTAGTTTTCTAAGTAATATATCACTCAAGTTCATGTGCTTCATTTTTCATGCTTAATCCTTGATTTTATGTTCATTTTCACTACAAATGAAAACCCTTTGCATAATTAATTTAGTGAGGATTGTGTATGCAATTGAACCTACTACTGGCTTTTTTCTCGTTTCTAACTGACTACAAAGTTATAGTACAAGAAATACCCTTCAAATACCAACCATATTATAAGGAATAACCCTTTCATTTCCCATACACATCTCACCCCATTGGAAGGTTTAAACTGAAACCTCCCACCTTGAAATTCTTGTGCTTAAACCGTTAGGAAATCCCGAATGCCAAACATGTAAACAAAACAAGTTAGCAGACTAGCAGTATCAAACATTGATGAGGATCCAGTTCTTCAGCCCTCATGTTTAGGCTAAGGTCGGCTACCGATCCTCTAACATGCAGCCAACCTGGAAGTGTAAATGATAATGAAAACCAACTACTCAGCAATTGAAAATCTAATGGAGAAATAAATGGTGCTTCAAATTAACACACTGGACCCTGTTGTCAATTGCAAAGAGCCTGTATATAAAAATCTATACATAAACAAAATCCCATCAACTTCATGTACATAGTTGCATGGAAATCTTCCTAGAAAAAAATTTACAGTTTCAATGTTGCAGTACATGCTTCTATTCAGCTATTTGCTCCGGAGTCCATGTAGATCTCTTTCTTTTTCCAAAGAAAATTAAGAAAAAGATAGACTTTGAAGGCAACATGTTTGGATTTCTTTATTTAAAGAGGAAACAAAAGACCGAAATATTAACTCCATCACATGCAACTTTACTGCGGTTCCAACCCCTTGTGTGTCACCATATGCATAATATCATCCCAACTACCCTGCCTCTTCCTACTTAGATACAAATAAATTCATATATGTGGGTTTGTCAACCTCATCTACTTTATAAAGGAGTTTTTTTTTGAAAGAGAGAGAGAGATAGGAAAATAAAACGGAAACAAAAGATAAACAAATGCTGGAAATTTGTCTAAAAAAATTTGTCACTTGAATGCATAATAGAAACTTGAACTACTCTCATTCATTGGCCGTTCTCAACTTCTATCCTCCTTATTAATGACAAAGCCACAGTTGGATCATTTCCATTGTCCTTTTATAAGGACTAAGTACCACTGTTGAGCAAACTGGATAGGTACCATACAAGAGCAATGCTTTTGGTCTTGGCATTTGCACTTCTAAGCAAAGGGTATGCACAAGACTCAGGTGCTTTTGTTCCGGCCATTATAAACTCTGGTGATTCTGCAGTAGATGTTGCTAACCATGACTATCTCCCCAAGGCTAATTACCCTCCTTATGGAAAGGACTTCATCAATCACAAACCTACTGGGAGGTTTTGCAATGGGAAGTTAGGCACTGATATTACTGGTAAGTAATAAGTAGTACTACTAATTTGTCTAGGGAATATTTCTTTAAATTAATAAACTAGATAGATTCCCTTTTGCAGCTGAAAATCTGGGATTCAAGACTTATGCCTTAGCATATCTAAGCCCAGAAGCATCAGGGAAGAATCTTCTAATTGGGGCCAATTTTGCTTCAGCTACACCTGGTTATGATGACAAAGCTACCACCATAAATGTGAGAAATAGAATTCCACCTTAAGCATATATTCATCTGACACTTCTATCCCTTTTGTCAAACACTTTTTGTATTTTGCAGCATGCTATCCCATTGTCACAGCAATTGGAGTATTACAAGGTGTACCAGAAAAAGTGAGCAAAGTTATCTGGAAGTAACAAATCTGCATCCATTATCAAGGACTCAATATATATTCTCAGTGCTGGAAGAAGTGACTTCCTTGAGAACTACCATGTCAATCCTTTACTCAACAAAGCCTATGCTCCCTATCAATGTGGTTCATATCTTATCAAGGTGGAAGATTCATCTCAATTCCACAAGCAATCATAGATAATTAATAAGAAACAGGTAAAACAAGTGAAATTCAGATTACCAGGACTAGACAAAACCGCATGGGGGCGCGGAACTGAAGCTGCTCTTCCACTTAACTTTCTCTCCTCACCACTGCTCTTCTGGTTGTCAAACGCATTTCATAATTAAGAGTAAGAAAAAGTACAGAATTAACCGATAATGTGAGTTTAATTTCTAACATGTCCACTAATTCAATGTGGAGTACATAAGTCATACGAGTCAAAAGTTCACAGTACCATGTCAAGAGCCGCTTTGCTCGAAAATTCAAGGAATTAGATAACAACATTTAAAATGTAGTATGTAGAGGAGAAATAATTAACCTTTAGAAGCTGAAATTGAATTAGCATTAATTGGTAACTCTGGCAATTATAGGTGGAGAATCAGAATCCCATTGTTTTTCCTTCTCTGCACAGAAACGAGAGGGAAAATAAAACCATACATTACATGGGAATATAGGATATATAATTAGAAGCAGTACTGATTAATCCTAGTGAAAAATAGTGGCAACTGGTATTAATTAGCTTGGCTGGAGAAAGACTCTAAAAATTGAACGGAACCACTGTCATCTTCATTTTGTTCCGGCCTCACTTTCACCTTTGGGTACACTTGGATTAATTTCAAAGACAAAACAAAACAAAATATTCATATTAGAATTGTAAGATGCAAAGAGCTTCCAAAACATAGAAAGCATTAAAGAACTCACTTTTGTTCTACTGTTGTGTCTTGTTTTTGGAGTTGGGAGTCTGAATGAGATTATGTGGTGTGTAGTAGAAGGATAATGAGAGAGCAAAGAAAGAAAAGGTTGGAAGAGAAGGAAGTAACGAAGGGCAACTGAAACGGGAAGGAGTAATTTTGATGATGAGCAATGCTAGGGGCACTTGCCTCCTGCACTCTCCGGCCAACACTTTCTCTTTTATTGGGCCACGTTATTTTGATTTCGAGAGGTTGCGCCTGAAAGCTTTAAAGAAGCTTACGTGGCCCAATGAAAGGGGAAGTGTTGGCCGGAGAGTGCAAAAAGCGAGTGCCCCTAGCACTGCTCTTTTGATGATTTCTTGACTAGAAAACCGAAGGGCACAAATGGCTTTTCGAATCATTTTGGCTTTGGCAGGGGACAAAGTGTTTTTGCTCTGGTAAAAGCATGAACCAATACTGAAGTGACACGTAGGACAATGTCAGGAGAGAAGTCGGGACAATGCTTTGTTTTGAATCGATGGGCCTCGAGTTCGAATTTTCTTTAAGTTTTTTAGTCTGTTTGCTGAGGCATAGGTTAAAAATTTTAAGAAAATAAAAATTCATATATAATTTATTAGTTATCTAATTAAATTTATTCTTTTGATATTAATTTTAAAATTAATATTTATTTTTATATTTTTATACAAATTTATTAAAAAAAAATAATCATGAGCTGTTTCATAAAAATCCTTTTTTTTACTAGTTTCACATTTTGGATCTTATACGGAAGCCCAATTCGCCGTGAGGCCCATTATTTATCTGTTGTGATGTTGTGAATATGAAGGTAATCAGCTATATTGGGCTGATACGGGACTCACAAGTGGCCATCGCGTGGACAACTTTTTTATTTTTCTCTATAAATTAATGCATAAAAATTAATGTATGAAAATTGTATTTAAGACACTCTTCATCTATGATTTAATTGAAGAATAATTATATTTTTTCATTGGCAATCAAAAAGGAAAAAACTATTATCACCCACCAAAAATCACTGGTGTGACTAGACTCGACAAACGGGTGGGTTGGGTTGGGTTTAGGTTGGGTCAATTCGGATAATGGGTTATACGGGTTGGGTTATGAATGGGTTGCAGGTTGAAAAAGTTCAACCCTAACTCAACCCTAACGAGTTACAAGTTAACTCGTAAGTTGACCTTATTTTCATTTTTTATAATTATTTTTTATTAATTTTATTATATACAAATAAAATTTTATATATCGAAATCTAATTAAAGTATTATGATTTATTAAAACTAAGTACTTTATAGTCTTAACCACAAACAATTAAATTAAGAAAAAAATCATAAAGTTATAAATAATAATAAGTTAATTAATAATAACAATATTAAACGCAAAATATTTAAATTTCTTAGAAAATAAAGTTTTAATTTTATAATCATCTTGAAACATTATTAAATAAGTTAAGCCATTTTTTTAATGATGAAATTGCTCTTCTAAGAACATCTTTCACTAAGTTATTATTTTTATGTCCTAGCATCACATCTTTTAATATTTTTAATTGCATTATCATTTCATTTCTGATATTTGGGTAATTGTTAATACCCAAAAAAAAAAAATGATGCTTGGATAATTATATCAAACTCATCATAATTTTTTCGTCCTTTTCTAGAAATTAGGGAGTATAAATTACTGGAAGGAGTTAACAAATAGGAAAATTAATTAAGAATAATAAGTATAATATTTAAAATAATAATAAAAAATAAAACCAACGTGACAACCCATCAATT